TGAAAGTGATGTTAAAACACCTACTCAACCAATCAATTTGATTCTGAATGGAACCTTTAAAGTTGGAATATTTTATTTTAATTATCATCAAAATTCAATTATAGAATAATACTTTGTAGTAAGTAAAAAGTCTGTTTACTGAAGCACATTTCGCATGAAGAATCGAAATAGAGTGCATGGTTAATGCTTTTACAACCCTAAATAGTTTCAAAAAAGAAGCTTTCAAATCTTTATAATTCTATTACAATCATTATAACATTGAAATTATGAGTTAAATAAAGATTTTCGGTTGTTTTCCTATCATTGGTGAAATGTTGTCATGGAGAGCAGATGTGCAATCACAGAAGTTGCATTTTATTTGGATATAAACAAAAAATTTGGAATGGCTCCCAATTACAGTATAGTGTGAAATGAGTTTAAACTTTTTTTTAAATTGCATGCATTATTTTTAAATGTATTTTAAAACTTTAGAAAAACGTTTAATTAAAACTACGGTATTGATATTTGTTTTATAAATTATAAGGTATTAACATTTTAGATATATTTCATAAATCAGAAATATAATATTATTTAATCAAAAGTGCATTAATCTGATGATTTAAAAAAATATCATAGTTTGTACATTTATAAAATTGATATTAAATAATAGTTTGAACATGCAATAATTAATTCTTGTTTATTTAGCAGACCAAACAAACAGTCCTTGTTTATTTAATTACATTTTACTTCATAAAATAATGTGGGACAATCAGAACTTTTCATGTGGGACAATCAGAACTCTAAAATTTTAAAAAGTGGGACAATTGGGAATAAACCATAAATACAATCCATTTTGTTCTCTGTGAAGTTTATTTACTGAGACCTTTAAATTTCTTCTAGGAGAAATCAATCAGTCATTTATTAATTTACCTGAGTAAAAAAATTATCTTCTAAAAGATGGAAATACATGTTTTAATTCACAAAACTGCATGTGATGATGTATTTATTCAATATCAATAATATATTTTCAACCTGTTCAAAGTAAACAGTTTTTCAAACATTAAAAAATGATTTCTGACAAAATTTTCAACATTGTTCCTATTTAAATTTGTTTTGTTTTTTGTGATTGACAAATTAAAACTGGAAAATGACATCGTTAAAATTAAGGCCTTCTTGAATGTATTCTATGACTAAAAAAAAAAAAAAAAATGCAAAATTCAATAGGAACAATGCTAAAAATTATGTCAGAAACTTTTTATGATTAAAACAGTGTTTATATCAGACAGATTGAAAATAAATTATTAATAGTGAATAAATACAACATGCAGTTTTGTGAGTTGATCATCTAATTAGAAGATGATTTTTATGCCCCCGCCGTTGCAGTGGGGGCATGAAGTTTATTCTTCTCCGTCTGTACGTACGTACGTCCCAAAATTGGTTTCTGCTCTGTAACTTGAGTTTGCATCTACCAAATGTTATGAAACTTATACACAATGCTTATTATCACAAAACATATACACAATGCTTATTATCACAAAACACAGATCAAGTTTGAATTTTGGTGGCGTCACTTTAACTGTTCTTGAGTTATGCCCCTTTATAAATGAAAAAATTGCAAAATTTTTAGTTTCCGATCTCTAACTTAAGTTTACCTCAACCAAATGTTATGAAACATATACACAATGCTTATTACCACAAAACACAGATCAAGTTTGAATTTTGGTGGCGTCACTTTAACAGTTCTAGAGTATGCCCCTTTATAAATGGAAAAATTGCAAAATTTTTATTTTTATTTATTCAGGTAAATTAATCAATGAGTGATGGATTTCTCTTACAATAAATTAGAAATTTAAAGGTCCCTGAGTGAATAAACTACACAGAGAACAATAGCTATTGTATTTATTCAATGGGACAATAGAGCTAACAAAAGTTTTAAGTGATACTGTGACCTGAAGAGGAGATAACTCTGTGGAAAAGTTTCATTTGGTTCGCAATAGTTCAAGGTCCAGTTATAAATTACTCTGTTTTAGAATATTACTAATTTAGTATTGACTTCCTCAAAGAAACTCTGTTTTGAAGATTGTTAATTCATTTCAATAATATAATGATAAAATTTTTGAATAATATAATGATAAAATGATCATCATACAAATCTAAGGAAGAGATTTTTTTAATAAATTAAAAGGAAAAGGAAATAATCCAAGTCATTTACAAAGTGTCATGATTGAATTGAACACTGAAAACTTGTGAACAACCATGGAATGTGTCACATTGAGAAGCCAGATCTGACCAAGAGTATGATTTCCTTGTTAACAGGCCATTTAGTAATTTACCTGGTTCTTAAGATATCACACAGCTAGTCGTCTTTGGATGTCAAATACAATTTTATCATGCATTTATTTAATTGATGTTGTGTTGTGTTTATATTACAATGACATTGAAGAGTCAGAAATCAGAAATTATTTTCCATTAGGGATGAACTCGATTGTTTTAATTGTTTATGTCTGCAACAGGAAACTTGCTCAATGTAATCAATGCACTTCTATTAAGAAGGCTTGTCATGCATTTAAAAAATCCATAAAGATACAGTATAGTACATTTAACAGTAATTATCAGTAGGTTACAAGAAATATCCATCTCTGATAAACTAAGGATTGTCTTTCAAATTGGTCATATGGCAATTCTAAAAGTGTATCTAAACAGAGACATATATATATATACACATTACTGTTTGTACATCTTAGTTTTGACTATTTCCAGGCCCTGCCCACTAGTTCTCATTACTATTTGTACATCTCAGTTTTGACCATTTCCAGGCCATGCCCACTATTTCACATAACTGTTTGTACATCTTAGTTTAGACCATTTCCAGGCCCTGCCCACTAGTTCTCATAACTGTTTGTACATCTTAGTTTTGGCCATTTCCAGGCCATGCCCACTAGTTCTCATTACTGTTTGTACATCTTAGTTTTGACCAATTCCAGGCCCTGCCCACTAGTTCTCATTACTGTTTGTACATCTTAGTTTTGACCATTTCCAGGCCCTGCCCACTAGTTCTCATTATTATTTGTACATCTTAGTTTTGATCATTTCCAGGCCATGCCCACTAGTTCTCATTACTATTTGTACATGTTAGTTTTGACCATTTCCAGGCCCTGTCCACTAGTTCATGGTGCGACGACCCTTGAATTAATCGGCAATGTTGCTGTCCATCATTATTATTGCCTATAAATATTAGATACACCTTGAGGGCATTAGCCTGAATAGGTGTATCTAATTTACACCAAGATATTATTGTCAATGTAGAATGATAGTTTTCAATACTTTAGGAGGGGGTCTTTCAGTGATTTGATCATATGTTTTTGAAAAACATGATAAATGCAGGGTATCCAATTTCATTTAACCACATCTTGGTGTAAATATGATTAAAAAATTAATGGGATTGACAATGGAAACCAGTATATTTATCTGTTTCTTGTAATTTATAGAAGCTGGTATGAGTATTTTACATACCTGTCAACTGACCCGGATCCTGCAGGTGTGACCCGAGATTTTCACAATTCTGAGGGGTCACCCGGAACACCCGCCGGTTGACCAAATAACCCGGGAATTCGGAAAATAACCCGTTTTCACCCTGATTCCTAAGCCTTCAGACTGATTAGATATAAACTGATTTCTTTAAATACCGGCAAATTCGTAATTCTTCCTGGACAAGATGTTGAACTAGCTTTGTAAACTCAGCTCAAGTGACCCATTTCAGTGCATGGCTTCACTTGACAGCTTTGGTGTCAAACACACCGTTAATTAACACCAATTACCTTAGCTTTAGGTCGTAAATAATTTGTGTATTTCAAAGTTGTTTTAAAAACAATTTGAGTTACTTCCCCTTTTTTGTCAATTCCTAATATACTCCTTAAACTTATGTTTTTTTTGTAAAAAGATTAAATCTAAATGAATTGAATACACAAACATATCAGAATAATACTTTTACTTATTGTTCTACCTTAGAACAATTAAAAAATAAAAATTTTGAAAATTACTTTGTTCATCTATACCTCCTTTAATTGTTTAACTTTATTTTATCATACTCTAATACCAACCTCTTATATGTTCTACTGATTAAAAGCTGCACAAATGTATGCAAAGAAAACACAAATTGGCACATTGTATGTCATGTACTGCATATGAACAGGAATAAAGGCGATGTAGCACAAATCTATCAATGGCCTCCAAGTGCAATGAAATAATAAAATGTACAATTTTAAATTACTTAACCATGTGGACATGTTTTGGAAACTTTGATATAAATTATAAGAAATTCAGCTCTAAAAAGTTTGTACGCGTTATGACCTGAGATTTCATTCTTCTATGCAGGTCATCACCTGCATTTTCATTGTCATAGGTTGACAGGTATGTTTTAGATAGTGTGAAGACTTAAAATAACTGCTTATTAACAAATACTTGTAAACAAATATAAATTATAAAATATGTGTAAAATTCTTGTTTTCATGTAGTGCATGTACTTGAAGATATTTAGCGTTGGTCAAAAGATTAAATTTCACATTAACAAGTAAAGTAAACTAAGTGCTAAATAGATTATAAAATTCTTTTGTGTTTCGTTGTCGTTGGCAAAAATGTTCAGTTGTTTCCATATTTTTTTTTTGCGTTGTTCCTTAGATTTCATTGAAAGGACCTAAGTATTTTCTATTGTGAATAATGTTAAACTTTATACATTATTTTCAAACTTGTAAAAAAGGTATCCACTTAATTTCCATAATAATTTCTATTTTGAAAAAAAAACCCAGATTTTTTGGTATTTCCCAAATAAACCCCAAAAGGACCATTCCCAAAATACCCAGAAAATGTTTTATGATTGTCTTTGCTTACATACACATCATTTGAACTTTGGTGGAAAGTTGTCTCATTGGCAATCATACCAAATCTTCTTATTTCTATATAAATGCTATTAAATCATGTTGAAGTTGATTTTTTACAACTAATTCTCTTCTTTGTCATTACAGCAGTCAACCAGAACAACAGGCATTTGATAAGAACAAATGAAGTAGCTCCGATCATCATTCATAACTGTAGAGAAGAATTTCAGCATGTCTCTGACTTTAAAGAGCCTATTGTGTTTGGGAGTATTGCTGATAATATGCCAGAACATGCCCTTATAAAGGTAGGTTTGTAAAAATTACCTATTCATTCTTCCAGCAGTAGTCAAAATCTTCCAATTTTGAAGCCCTCTTCCGTCCTTCCCATAAGAAATTAAAATCTTTTGCTTAAAAGATTTCAGCCAAAACAATATTGTCAGTCTCCATTTTTTATTATGCCATCGACAACCTTTTCGTAACAGATTTTGTCTGGCCTGCGAAGAAAGTTGCGGAAAGCAAGACATAGGGATTGTTTTCCAGCGACAACAACGTCATCAAAACGATATTAAACTTGACTTTTGATATAATTCTATGTTCTGACATAAACATAAACATCGAAGAGTGCAACATCAGCAAACTAATACCTGCTTAGACTCTTTATTGGTGCAAAATTACGCTGTCAAAAACTTTACTTTTGTTTTTAAAGAAGGATATTTTTTTCTGATTTTTGCATTGGCCATGTGTTCAAGAAGATTTTTCTGGTTAGTTTATATATGAAGAAATTTTTTATCATAAAGCCAGCACATTAAAATTTAAAGTCCAAATGTTTTACATATATATTTATTTAGATACTATAATAGATACGAAACATGATTACAAATGTAAAATCATGCATTTCAAGTTTGACTTTTATAGCTTTAATAAGTAAAATTCAACCGATTTTGGTGTTCAAAGAGCTGCATTTATTCCGAAATCTGTGTTTTTATAAACCCTTCTATGTTTATTTTTCATTGAAACAACCTCATTCTATTTTTGTAGGTCTGTTATCCACTAATGATCACTGATTAGTATATTGTATGATTATAATTATTCAACATGTATATCAAATAAATTACCAATCAAACAATTTCATATAATCAATTAATTCTAAAGACTAATGATTAACTTTAGATATTTCTGATATGAAAACAAATTGCATCAAATTACAGATCAATAAAGTTGTACTTTATTTTATTTGTATGTTTCTATATTATATGAAAGAAAATAACAGCTGTAATGCACATAAATAATAATAAAATATTAGGTAGGAGTTGGTAAATATTCGATAAAAGTTGGTTGATATAAAAATGCCAAGATGTGGTATAATTGCCAATGAGACAACTCTCCACAAGAGAAGAAATGACATAGAAATTAACAACTATAGGTCATTGTACGGCCTTCAACAATGAGCAAAACCCATACTGCATAGTCAGCTTTAAAAGGCCCTGAAATAACAAATGTAAACCAATTCAAACGAGAAAACTATCTACCTGATTTATGTAAAAAAACAACGAAATACAAATATGATATACAGCAACAAACGACAACCACTGAATTTCAGGCCCTGACATGGGACAGGCACATACAGAATGTGGCGGGGGCCCAACCCTCCCCTAACCTGGGACAGCGGTGTTACAGTACAACATATGAACAAACTATAAAAATCAGTTGATTTGGATGGATAGTTGTCTCATTGGCAGGGTATTTATACATACCTACAACAAAAAAGACACTTAAGTACAGATATGAGAGTACCATCTCCACAGTAGACTGGCATGATTGATTTAAAGCATTTTGATTGTAAATTTCCAGTTCCTTAAAAGGTCTCCGGTAGGGTATACATCTTAAGTCACAATGTCAATTTTAAAAATTGTCTCAGATCACCAGGTCACTTTTAAGCAAAATAATAAAACATTAAAATAAAATGGTTTTGAACATTGTTTAAAGGTCCCCACATGTCCTTTTAAATGAGATATTAGGTTGCAAAGTCACTGCCCAACCCATCAAGATTGGAGCTACTTTGAGTACATGTTCTAAAACTCAAGATTACAACTCTCCCAGGCAATGTTTACCTTAGATGGTTTAGACAAACTAATGTCTGGCATACAAAATTATAATCCTGGTATCTATGATGAGTCTATTTATAGTTGTCCTGTTAAATGTCCTTTTGATATTTATGTTCTCAAACATTTGTGGCTTCTTTAGAACTTTTCAAGTTTTGGGCTGAAGCATATCTGATGAATGTTATATCAGAATCTTTTGTCTAGACAATAACCATTATCTTTATATAATATTAATACTCTTATATCATATAAATCTGTATTATTAGCTTTGAAAAAATGACATTTGAACCACGAGCTAGAACTGTATAAGGACTTGTGATTATTTAGAAACAAATGAGTGACTTTTGTACATTAGAAGAAAAAATCATTTTAATCCTAAATTGTAACTTTAACAGATATAGATGTTGATGTTAAATTACATGGAAAAATTTTAAAAGTAAATAACAGCATTAAAGCAGTCTTGCTTGAAGGATATACTATTTAATCAACCTGATGCTGATTTACTTATTTATAATTTCAAAAGTTATTTGGATGATTGTAAAATCTCTTATTGTTGATGATGGATTTTATGTAAGGAAATCATTTATGTTTCTACCAAGCCATACTTCTGGAAGTACAATCTCAAACCCCTCTTTGATGGATAGAAAAGAAAAGTTTCTGATTTCACTGTTTTATGCTTAATATAAATCAGTTTAGCATATAGTCTTTTAAACCTTTGAACAGTTTTACTTAAATTATATTGCAATTATTGGTTATTTGAATAATTTTTGTCATTGGCAGAAATGGTTCCTTTGTATAATTTCACAGATGACTCTGCCATATACTCAGGAGAGAAATATTCTTAAGAAACCTTTACAGCTATAAACTTATTCTCTATGTTCTGATTAATTAAGTTTAAAAGAGTAATTGGAAAATCATGTTAGAAATTAAGTGATATAAATTGTCCATAAAGTGGAATACTTAATAATTTATTGATAACATCATATAACATCATATGATTTGAAACTGTTAGAAAAAAAATAGTCTTAGATCTGTCAAACAAGGAGAAAGCCGTTAAATATAAAATCACATTTATTCCATTGTCTTGATTTGGCATATAACTATGTTTTATTGGTAAGTATTCCTTTGAAAATACTAGACTAACTTGAACCGTTATTGTTTTAAATAATGAATAGAAGCCTTTTACAGCCGACTATAATAATGGTATGGGTTTTTCTCATTGTTGAAGGCAGTACGGTGGCCTATAATTGCATACATCCACTTCATTTGAACTTTGGTGGATAGTTGTCTCATTTTTGGCAATCATACCACATCTCCTTATTTTTATATAGAAGATCTTGTATAAAAATATATATATATGGCCACCAGCTGTAGTTCTTGGTCTCATTCTCAATTTCTTAATTCACATTTGTAAATATCCAAATTTTTGCAAAGTAAAGCAAAATAGTTGAAGTCTTAAAGTAAAACAACAAAATCAATAGGGTGAAAAAAAATCATGATTATTTAGTTATTTTTGTAATTATGCAAGCAAGAACCAAAGTGACAAATCTAGTTCTGTAAGTTTCTTCTGTGAAATAAAGAAAAGGAAGTTTTACTTGTGCTTATTTTCACCACAAACAATGTTGTTAAAGAATTTTAGAAAACGACAATAAAGCTGTTATAATGTTTTTAATCAATAAGCATAGAACATAATTGGTTCATCTCTGTCATATTTGTTTTTCTTATATTGTTTTGTTATAATTAAGGTCATTAGTTTTCTTGTTATACCCCCTTTTTAAAATAGTGGGGGTATACTGTTTTACCTCTGTCTGTCCTTCCGTCAGTCCATCCATCCATCCATCCTTCCTTCAGTCCATCCGTCAGTCCGTCCGTCCCATGAATATTTTCTTCGCATTTTTCGCAGGAACTACTTGACAAGGATTTCTGAAATTTGGTTTCAGGGTTTATATAAGTAAGTTACACGGTGTGATGAGTTTTCAGATTCATCACTCAACAACTTCCTGTTTACCAAACACTTGTATTATTTTACACATGATAGCCAAGTTGAAAATTTTCATCACATTTTTCTCATGAACTATTTGACAAGGATTTCTGAAATTTGGATTCAGGGTTTATATTAGTCAGCTATACCGCGTGATGCGTTTTCAGATTCATCACTCAAAAACTTCCTGTTTACCGAAATATTTCGGCGGGGGTATCATCAGTGAGCAGTAGCTCACAGCTCACAGTTTTACTTGTTTGAATTGTTTCACATTTTCCATGTTTGGCCTTTTATAGCTGACTATATGGTCATGGTTTTTTTTTCACATTGTTGAATGCCGTAAGGTGGCCCATAATAGCCTACTACCATTTCATTTAAACTCTGGTGGATAATTGTGCATTGGCAATTATATCATATCTCCCCATTTTTACATAAAAAAAAACCATTAGCGTTCGGATTCACCACAAAATGTCTTGTTACCAGGTTTTAGAAATGAACATGCTGTTTATTATCAAATGCAATATGCCTTTGAGTAAAACTAAGATAATTTACCAGTAAGAAGAGTTTTAATGGACCTAAATTGGCTATGATTAATGCTAATTCTACTTCCCCTTATTAGGAGCTTCTACAATTCCAAAATCTATTGGTTTCCTGTTCATTCTAGATCTTTTTAGCCTTGGGGATAGTTCTCTTTACATAAGAATTATTAGATGCAATTACACGAGAAATTTATATTTCTCAACATCGCTGTAACGACCTCTGTGACATCTTTCCATTCAGATAACGTGCTGCTCTCATTTCCTTTCGAATAATTCTTATTTCATCTTGCGTTAGACTACAGATACATAATACGTGTGGTATCTTTTAAGAAAGAACAAATTAAAAAACATATATATCATTCTAAGTAAAACAGATGGTAGACAATTAGATTACAGTTCTTAACAGAAATAAGTAGAAAAACAAAGTATACATCAGTGAGACAACATCCTAACCATATATTCACATTTAAAGAGGGAACATATTGAAAACATATCCTTCTATGTAAAACAGATAAGTTTAGACAGTTTCTTCGTATGTTGGTTAATGAAATTTTGAAACGAGATATGTAGGCAATTTAATTACAGTTCTTATAAGAAATACGAAGATAATCGAGGTATACCTCAGTAAGACAACAAACAACCAAACCATATATTCACATTTTAAAATGATAAACAAAATAGGC